GAATTGAAAAAGTTATAATTTAATAGAAACTTGATTTAAATCAATACACAAATTATTCTCTTGGTAATTTAAATGATACTTTTACTCATTTTAGAAAAGGGTGCGTAGTCCACTATCTATTTAATGGAATGTCGTTTATTGGTGCACTAATAATATATTCAGGGTGTTAACTTAGTAATATACAGTATCATGCAGTATGCTTACCTGGTAGGGTAGTTATTTTCAATGTTTAGGTTATTTTCTAAAATATTTGACTTTTCACAGACTAATTCCAGTTGGATTTAATTCTAAATAACTCTCCTACTAGAGAGCTGAAGGCAACCAATAACCACTGGACATTGTCCTTCTATGGAAGAATATTATTGCAAGTGGTAGACTGACCTGATCTTTATAGTTCTCCACAACCACAGGAAATTTGTTGCCTTCCTCTGTGCTGTAAATGGGGCTGGTGTGAGTGAGCTTGAATTGGTTTGTAATGCATTATTGCAGGCAAGCTTGGGGATACTTTTGATATACAGATAATCCTCTTTGTTCAGTGACTGTTCAAAATTATGATGGCCCTGAACGAATGGTACCTATGACTAGTCTTTGGAGTTCCAGCTCTGCAGTATCCACTAGTCATATGATCACAATTTCCAATGTTCCCTGCCAGCTTCTCACAAGCAAAGTCAAAGGGAAGTTTTGGCAGGAAGTTAGAAGTCGTGATCATGAAGTACACACCCTTAATGATCTGTGCGGCTTTCCTTTAAAAATGGCAATTGGGACTGCTGAAATTGCTATTACTGAGCAATACAATCACATGATGTCATGGTTTATGACTGTACTGATTAACAATGGAAATTTCAGTCCCAACTGCCATTATAACCCATACAGTGGGTTTTTCTTTTATGTGGACTACAACAATTCTATTACAAAGAATTTGGGAACTATTGTATTAATTTAATAATCTGGCAAGTTTTTGGCTATATGTAGGAATCAATGCCAGAGATCTTCAGTACTCCTAACATACCAGCTGTAAAGTCCTTGGACAACTGGTTGGAGATATAGGAACACAGAACTTATGGTTAAATACTATATAGATCTATAACAACCATCTAAATTCTCTATTTGGAAATTAACATAAATGAAAAAAGTCATTCAAGGTACCGGTAGTTAAAAAGGGAAAAAAATAGCATACATTCTAATTCAGACAGCCACTCTGGATCTTATGCAGAGAGTTGCAGGTAACTTATAATTTTTTATCCAAATATTTACTAGTTATGTAAAACATCCTGAGCAGTGTAAACCATCAACTTGGAATAAATATAAAATATGATAAAATACATCAACTATAACTAATGACCATGAACAATGCATCAGCATTATCCTGAGATGCTTTCAGCACATCACAGCATGCTTTATTTTAGTGTGTGGGGAGGTGAGGGTAAGTGGAAAAAGTATTAGGAGAATAGGCACCATAGTAGGGGGAAAAACTGTTTACCTGATTGATGCTAATGAATATCTGTAAATAGCCAGGAATAACTAAATGGGAGAAAATATCTGTTTGGGTATCCTATTCTTACCAGTTAATAACCAAACCTTAACTCCAGTGTATTAACAAGGGTAGCTTTGGCAGAGGGCTAACTTTTTTTCCAGATCCTGCAGATATTAATGAGATAGATAGATAGATAGATAGATAGATAGATAGATAGATAGATAGATAGATAGATAGATAGATAGATAGATAGATAGATAGATGTGTTTATATTACATATTGGGCTGTTAGTTTTAGTGATGATTGTTATAGCATCTGTCTGCCAACAGAACAGACATTGCTCTTTAGCCTTCTCAATAAGGCCTCCAAAGATGTTTCACAGAATTTGTGGACTTTTCAGATAAATTGCTGTAGTGGGGTACTTGAGTGAAGGCAAAAAGAATGACCTCCTCCTTGCATGGCGGCATAGTATGTAATACAAGACTGCACCCACAGCAGTCAGAGCTGCATTTCAATGCAATTTTAAGATTTTATCCTTTCATTTAATAGGTTAATAAAGAGTCACTGATTTAGTCTTAAGAGATTAATAAGCTTAATGTGCATTAATGCAGTTTAATTTTTAACAACACGTATTTAAATATTTTATTTTAATTTTTTAAAATAAAATTTATACATTGCCTCAGACTCTGGGCATTTCACAGTAGATATAATAAAACACAAGTATCTAATTTAACATATTAGAATTTTTTAAAAGTGATTTAAAAGTAGTCACCCATTTATATTCATTTTATAAGCAGGTGAAAGTTTTTAGACTTTAAAATTAAACAGTAATCTTTCCAAGCCTTATGTAAATGTCTAGTATAGCGCTTGAGATATTGGACCGGCACAGGGGAGCGTTGAATTTGTGCTTCACCCTCAGCCATCAAAACTCATTGGAATCTGAGTCAGTCACCCTCAGCGCAACCTACAGGGTGATTGTTCTAGACAATAGAAAGAAACACTATGAATTGAAGAGATATATAAATCTATTAAATAAATATTTTAAAAAAGGGCACAACCTAACAGAAAAAAATTCAAAAGACTGCACCAAGAAATTAACATTTCCTCCATTTCAACGAGATTTAAGCTGAAGAATTCATTGTACTGGGATTTTTCTGGTATCATTCATTGCCCACTATACTTGTACTCCCTTGATTCAACTAAACATATATTACACTAAATGCCTATTCACAATTTATCTGTGTTATATTAATTATTGCCCAATGCTTTACACTGCCATTTGAAAAACAGAGAAATGTTAAGAAAAATTCTTCAAGATGCAGAAGTGCAATTACTTGAAAATAGGGGCTGCAATGGTTAGTATATACCAAGCTGAATTTAAAGCAGCAAAAAATTGCTTTGCTCTATGATCACAGATACATTTCTAGAAAGAAATCAGCATAAAGCATATTAAAGATCTTGATGCCATTCTCTGGGTAGGATTTTACAGTTATGCAGTGCATGTACACCTATCTTTGCACTTGGAATTTATATTGGGTTGAACCTGAAACAGGAAGATAATTTAGACAAAGGAGAAGGTAATCTGGTCAAAAGTTTTTTGGGTTTCCAACTCATTTATCTCAGCAAGGTTTTGAACTCTTTCAGATTATATAAATAGCTGGCATCACAACAGCCTAATTCTACTTACTGTAGTACTACCATATGGAAAACACATATCAGAATTTTGTTAAAATGGAAAAGCTTCGTTTATTTAGGTTAGCAGTCAGCAAACTATAGTCCACAGGCCAAATCTGGTCCACTGTTTGTTTTCATACAAACAATCCTTGAATGGATAAAGAGGCAGTTCTCCAAGTCCGAGCCTCAACCGAGGTCCCAGGTAATGGTGGAGCTAAGGGCTGGGGTAGCCTAGGCCAGGGGTAGGCAACCTTGGCTCTTTTATGACTCGTGGACTTCCACTCCCAGAATTCCTGAGCCAGCATGGCTGGCTCAGGAATTCTGGGAGTTGACGTCCACGAGTCATAAAAGAGCCAAGGTTGCCTACCCCTGGCCTAGGCAGTGACTTACCATCAGCCTTCTTGTTGGAGGGCTAGCACTGTTCAGTGGCTGCTGTGCGCCTTGGCCTCTAACCAGGTCCACAGAGGTGGAAGAGGGAGAAGATCTAGCCCTTTAAGGAAAATATTTGCAGATTTCCAATTTAGAGCAAAGGTGTTGTGGCTCTATCCTTCCAAAAGAAACCAATTAAATGCCTACTGTACATCATGAACCTTATTAGTTCACCTTATTTCAAGATCCTGGCTCTTACGCCCGCAACTGTACACATGAATATGATTCTCTCCCCCTGCCCCAATTTTTCGCCACAATAACGGCGACATTGTGGCAAAGGATTGTGTAAGTTATTTTTCTACAGTCTATATCCTGTTAATCAAGAATTTGATAAATCCTTGTGCTTTGAGACAGAGTGAAAGTAAAAGGAGGTAAGTATATAACTAGTCTTTATTCACTCACGTTAGATTAATTGTAACTGCAATATTTTTTGTTCTTTCTGTATGCCACAAATTGCCTTTCATTAAACCAGAGGAAAAATCTTTGAAGCATTGTATAAAAGAAAATAATTAATGCACACATCCACCCACCCTTTCACAAAAAGTGGTGGATCACAAGAGACATCTCTTCCCATTTCCATAATTCCAAAGGCCAGCCAGCATGAAATAAACCAGAATGTAGAAGTGTATGAAGATAATCTTGATGAAGATATGCAGGAACCATTAAGAGAGGCTAAATGGCAATTTAGTCTTGGGGAAGTGGATAACATGAGAAAGAAACTTAGAACAACCCTGCCTTGATTCTGCTTGGTATAAGAGGAGACAGAAGGTAAACTTTGACAGGCTTTCAAGAATCTGTTATCATATCCTATAACAATAAAATAGCGCTTCTATCCTCCTCATAGTGCTCGTTTTCTGACCTGGCCTACTTCAAGCATAGTTTGGGGGCATACCATGGACTCCACCTGTTGGGTACATGCTATTTACCACTTCATAAACTGGTATAAAAATTGAAGGCTTGGGTTTACACAAAACACTAAGCCAAAGCAGTTATAGGATGGCTTAGCGCACTCTATGAACTCAGCCTCTGATTAAATCTCTTAAATGATAAGGTCACCAGCAATATTGATATATCTGCTAATGAAGTGATGAGAGTCTTCTACAATGCTGCAGTGAAGCAAGCTGAGCCACATCTGGAGATGAAATAGAGATAGCTGCAACATCTTAAATAATCCAACTCAGGCACTTAGCTAAAAAACTCATCAAGACCAAGCCATTCCCAATCCAGGACACTTGTGAGCAAATCTCCCTTACTGAACACAGAATTAAGTTGCCAGAATATATTTAGGGCCATCAGAGAAAGCCCCCCATGTTTCACCCAATCAGATTCTAGTTCCATCAAGCCCCCCCCTCTCTCTCAAGGTAGCCCCCCCCCTGCCCCAGCACCGCAAGTATTCCTCAGCAGCGAGGAGAAACTTCCTTACCTGGCCTTTCACAAGGCTAGCGGCAAACTGGCGCATGACAGCCTCAACGGTGTAGGCGCTTGACCATCCTCGGGGAGTGAGCAGCTCCATGCAGATGGCTCCGCCATCGAGGACGTAGCCGTTCTCCAAGCGCGGGCTGAGCACCCGCATGAAGGGCGGCGCGAAGGGGAAGTTGTCTGGGAAAGTGAGGTTGAGAAGGATGTATTCAGTGTTGGTCTCCTTCATGTCCTGCCACAGCACCGAGTCCTTGTCCACCTGGTGCAGCTTCACGTTCCAGTCGAAGAGGCTCTCGTCCACAAGCTCTACCGAGATGAAGCGGTCGCTCAGGCGGGCGATGTCCTGCAGCTCCTTCATTAGCCGTCGGGTGCGCACTTGTGTGCAGTGCGCCTGCCGGCTGGCCGGCACCAAAGACGTGGAAACCAAGGCCGAGCCGGAGCGGCTAATGCCGCTGCCCCCTCCTAAAGGTTGCTCCTTCGCGGAGCCCGCCTCTTTGCCGCCTCCGGGGTGCTGCGCTTTTTCTTTCCCGGCGTCGTGGGCCGCCGGCTGCTGCTTCGCCAGCTCCAGGACCTTCTTCGGCTTGTTGCGAGCCGGGCTACCACCTCGGCTGCTGCAGCTCTCTCTGCTGGGGCTGCCGCAGCCGCTAGCCGGCGTGGCTTGCAGCTGCTGCTTATTCTTATGGTTGCTTTTGCCTCGCAGCGAGGAGCCCTGCTGGAGGCTGCCGCGCCGGTGATGATGGTGCTTGGGGTCCTCCGTGTCCCTATTGTGAAGGCGAATCAGCCCGATTTTCCGGAGTAGAGTAGCCATTCTCCAACGGCCTTGAGGGGGTCGCCGAAGCGGCAGGGCAAAACGGGGCTAGGCAAACCGCAGGGGGAAGGCGGACCTCAGATCGGCCACCTGTCCGAGCTAATTAAACCGGCGACCTGGGATCCCCGGAGTTCCAAAGCCGATCGAAACAGAGGAAGCCGGAAGGACGGAGAAAGGGGGGGGGGTGAAGGATGCGATCTGGATGGTACTTCTGGCTCGATTGCTCCCCCAGCTTCGTTCCCCGCCGTTCAGATCCCTCCTTTCAGCAGCGCCGTCGGCAACATTGCAGCATTCGCAGCGCCTCTCCCGGAATCACCAAAGCTCCGCTGCCGTGGCCATTGAATCCCCCGTTGGAAAGGAGGGGGAAGCACCCCCAGCAGCCCCCTTTACCTCCGCCCACTCGCGCAGGCACGCTGCTGGTACCGCAGGAGGCCCCTCGCTTTCACAATAACCTTCAGGTCTTATTGACCGAAAATAAAAACGGGATCTTATCCAAGAATCATCCACCCCCCTCTTTCTTTTTGCGCGAATCAAAAATCACCCACCCACCGGCGCAGAGCGCAGCGAGGGGGAGAAGGAGGGATCCCGAGGCAGTCTCCCTCCCGCCCCGCTCCGCCGGTCGACAACGTCGGTCTGCTGAAAAATGTCCTCGCTAGCAAGCGGTGCTCCTTCTTCAAATGCGCTTCTGGAAAAGCGGCACTGGTTGCCTTCTTCTCCTTTGTTCCACCTCGGGGCTTCTCCCGCTTGGAAGCCGGCAGCCGGGACCGTTTATGGACTGAAGGCGTTTACGCTCGGGATTAAAAAAAAAAAAAAAAAGCAAGCAAGCTGTGGGAAGGGTTGGAGAGCTGTCTTCTTTGCGCAAAAGAAGGCGACCTTCTTTAACGAGCCTGGCGTCCTGCCCTTTAGCTCACCTCTTCGACAACAGAGGTGGGGGGGAACCCGAGTCAGCCGCGCGGCGGGCTCTCTCCTCCTCCTCCCTTGCAGAGTCTGCCGCGCTTCTGCAGCGGATCTGACATTACTGGCGTCGGGGAGGAGAAAAAGCGGGCTAAACTCCACCCCGCTACTCTGTATGCTCACGAAGAGGACGTCCTAGGCGAAAGCTCACGTGGTGGTAGGCCGGGCTCTCCCTAGCTGGAGTGAAGGGGGAGCGAGTGGGAATTATGTTGTGAGGGACGGATGCGGGAGCGATGCGTGATGCTTTTCTCTTAGCCTCAAAGCGTCGGTTTTCCCGGCTTTCTTCGCCCCTTCACCGGTGCCAGGCAAACAACAGATTATCTGCCTTTTGGGGGGGCTTATAAAATTGCACTAACTTAACTACCGTGGTCCTGCTTTAAAACGAGGGTCGATTGTATGTATTGGTAAATGCAAAAGGAGACAAAATAGGGAGCGTTTGGGATGCAGCGATAATAGAAATTTACAACAATTTTCTTCAAATAATTTTTGTTATTTTCCCCAAAGACAAAGCCATGTGTGAGAAACAGCACTGTGGTGGGTTGGGAAAGAAATCTGGTACCTGTATACTGTACTTGGCATCATCACGTCTTTAACACGTGATGGAACCCCTTAAAACAGAAAATAGAAATGCAAAACTACGTTGTTTTATAAAATTTAGTCCGTATGATTACATGTTTGAATAATAGCCTCTTGGGTCCCATAACAACTTAAAGACTTAATGTTCATTTCTCTACAATATTAAAATATGTATTTTTGAAGAGAATGGTGTGGTGGCCAAGGGGTGAAGACGCTAGCCTCCTCACTAGGAAGGTTGAAAGCTCAATCCTAGATAGTGGCAGAAGTTTCTGTCCCAAGGTGTAAAAAAAAAATCCCCCACCAAACTGTGAACTCAGCGTGGCAGTGTCAGGAAAGGCATCGCGCCAGTAAATGCTCTGGGCTCTATCCAGTTGTCCCAACTCTTATTGCAAATTAAGGGATTACAGGGTCGTAAAAGGGTATCTAAGTCAATTATTAAAAGCAGTTACATTTGAGTAATTACATATATAATTACTTAAATGTAACTGCTTTTAATAATTGACGTAGATCACATTTTTCATATTGTCATTCACTTATTAAGCAAGCTTTCCAAAGACAAAGACAAACAAAGACAATCTGGTTTATAATTAGAGATTTTCTAATCCACCTGTCTTGAACTGCCAAATTTAGATCTAATTAAAGATAAAACTTTATTTAGTCTTCTCTCTTTGTATCTAAGCAGTAGTACTAATCAAGAACACTTCCATGTTTTGCATTCGACTGATGACTAGATGGACCCACTATTCCATTCTCTGCGGGAAACACTGTCAGTATTGATCCCTCCTCTGACATACCGAAGCAACACACCAATAACTTTCCAAATGTGTTTCAAGAATTCTTTGTCTGCCTGAAGATTTAAGCTTGCTTTTCTTTCCATGTGGGTTAATTTCAATTAGTGGTAGGCAGGGATGAAGAGAATGCGAGTGCTGGAGGTTTTAGTTTTCTCCTGCTTGAGTAGAGCACAGGCAGTGGAGATTTTATTTTCCCTCTTCTGGGAAAGTCCAGGGCTGATAGATGCCTTTTGCTTCCCTCTTTGGAATGATAAATATTCAATTGCAAATTCTTCCGACTTTTCTTCCAGTACATGCATCTTCAATAATAATGTATTAATAATATAAGTTATATAGAATGGAATGAAATACAATAGAACAGAGAACAGTATTGGGGTGGGATGGAATGCAATGGAATTATATAAAGTAATATGGCAGGGGTAGGCAACCTTGGTTCTTGTATGACTCATGGACTTCAACTCCCAGAATTCCTGAGCCAGCCATGCTGGCTCAGGAATTCTGGGAGTTGAAGTCCACAAGTCATACAAGAGCCAAGGTTGCCTACCCCTGTAATATGGGTTTCACTTTCAGTGCTTGTCTCTAAAATCAATATTTTCCCTCTTTTTTATATTGCAAAATAATTTTAAGTAGGGTAATATATCACTTTTAAAAAACATTTTTAATTTTTTTCATTCTGCTATTTGAAATGAGTTACACATTTAGCTATGTCTTATCATTACTTACATTCCTATGACTTCAACTTGAGTCACTTGAAAGTTATTGCAATCCAGGAATCAGATCTCCTAATGACAAAAAAAATCAGAAAAAACCATCACAGCAATTTCAAGAGAAGGATGATGCCTGCATGGTCTCTGATAACCATGTCTTTTTTTAAAAGAAGGACTTAGTCATTCAGTGAAACACAAATTTATTTATTTATTTATTAACAAATTACTCAAGGCAGTAGACATATCCAACATTTCCTCCTCCTCCTCCAATTTTCCTCACAGCAGCAGCCCTGTGAGGTGGGTTGGGCTGAGAGAGAGTGACTCCGCTCACTTTCAGGATTAGAACTCACCGTCTCCTGTTTTCTAGCCTGGTGCCTTGAGCATTAGACAAACTAGACCAGACTGGCTCATACACATACTATCACATCATCCTGAAGGCAGGTTTTTTCAATGCTGCTAAGAAGATCCTTCCTTGAGCAATTTTCTAGCTTCCTATATGTTGCATTATTCTGCCCACCTTTTAATTTTTTGTAGTTCTTGTTCTCTAGGAATCTCTGCCAACCTTACAGGTCCTCACATACTTCAAGTGCTTCATCAGTACGTGATACTAAAACATGTTTCTCTTTCTTTAAATATATTCCACCAAATCAGGTCTTCCCTTGCTTTTTTTTCTGACCATTTCTCTGGACAATTCCTGGCTTGGAATAATGGCTACAACATATCTGGAAAGCACCAGGTTGGAATGACTGCAGTTGAAATTAATCTTTTTTCTGACTCTCCCATCTTATTTTTTCTCTTCTTCTTAAGCACATCTTCCCTAGGACACAGATCTGACTTTTGCTTCTACTGTCCTCTAGGTCATGTGCATTGAAAATATATTTATAAAAAGGATTTTATGACTATGCTAAGACGACTGGAACCATGTTTGAACTAGAGAAGCTCATGACCTACACAGTCAAGAGAAATGACAAAAAAAAGCTCATTCATATCAATCAAAAGGTAGCAGGGATCAAAGGAGGTAATAACAATAGGTTCCACAGGGCATGGGAGAAATACTTTCTGAACATATTCTTCTCTAGGATGATATCCAGATGAAAGGAAAAGTAAGCCATAGTGCAGGAAGACTGGGGCCAGTGCCTTCTACCTTTTAGGTTCAGAAAAGAACAATCAGTACTTGATGTCATTTAGTCAAAGCTGCTGTTACATACTTTGCTCTACTTTTCATTTCTCTCATTCCTTGTTAGAGTCTACCATTTCATTTTTGTCTACAGTTTTTTCCCTCTTGGAATACATACTTTCTAGTTCCCATGGCAACGTCCATCTTTCTCTATTTGTTCCCCAAGGACTCTTCCTTGCGGTTGTTGCATCTTCTTTCTCTTTGCCGAAGCTATTTCTGGGATTCTTCTGGTATCATCCATTGCCCATTGTACTTGTATCCTCTTGGTTGAACTGAACATATATTACATTAAATGCCTATGCCCAAACTTCGTCTTTCTGCAGTATTTCAATTGCTTCCAGTTATCCCAATAGTTGTTTTCAATAGTGGGTTGGATTTTTCGTGATGTGAAATAAATGGACAGGAAGATGTCATTTCCCCCCCTTTATAATAGAATTTGAAGTTATGTAATGAAGAAAGTGCTAAGACAAACAAGGTTTTCATAAACTAA